CCCGGGTCCCTGCAACCGCTGTTTTTTTTTTTTTTTTTTTTCACTCACACCAGTGACCGGGCGTTTGGAGGTCGAGGTCCCTGACCTCCCGTCTCAAGCGTGGAAAGGTACTAGGGGTAAGGGATAAAAAACTGAGGTCTGTTGTGCCACCAGAAAAAGCAGGCACTATGTCGTGCATGGGCTCCCACTCCGTGTGCTTGACTGCTTATTTCAGCAGCCTGAACTGCCCAATTGATTATTCCAGCCTCCCAACCATCGGTCCCTCTGTTTTGTCCCCTCTGCTCTGCCCCGACTAAGCAAGCAATGGAGTGTGACGCCTGCCTCTTACTCCTATTGAGCCACTAGTGCTTGGCCGATACATCAGTCGCGGGCCCTTGTCTTATATGCGCCATCAGCCAAACAAAAAAAATGGATGGCAGCGCCAGGCAAACGAAAATTACGCTGCCAGTTCGACATTTCCATCGTTGGAGAAAAGTGCCTCGGAATGGTGTTTACTGTAGAAAAGAGATTCCTTTGTACACAACTTGTTGGCAAAGGGGGCATAACTCAACCGGTAAGGCACACAAGTCACATTCAGGATGTTGTGGGTTCAATTCCTAAGGCTGGTGCCCTAGAGATAGCCCTCTGGTTCCCTAGGCCAGTGTTAGCAGAACTTTGGCTAATATATTGCTGTCAACAATGGTATTGGGTGTGTTTTTTTTTTTTGAAAGTTTGTAGAGGCTGGGTACTAGACATATGATAGTCACCTCAGTAGGCGACAATATGGTTTAAACCACCAGCACTTCCTAAAGTCGTGCCCGTTAACGCGCCACGATTTTAGGAAATGTGTGGGACACTACAAGAGCGCCTAAATTCATCCAACTACAAACGTTTCTACTTTATTTTTTTCCGCGGCCGATAGCTGGGCCAAGTATTGATGGTTTAACCATTTTTAGTCCACCTTATGGGAACACGACTCTCTCTTACCTTGCGACAATTCCCCCCGGCGCACCCCCTACTCCCCGCTCATGGCTCATTATTGACTTACCGTGAGGGCACGGGTGCGCAACTTGTAGTTTGTTTATTGATGTGGTTGGGGAAGCGTAAGGTAGTGATCATGCTGTGTGTATGTTTTGCCAGTGTTATGTTCGCTATACACAACTCGAAGAGTGTGTGTGGGGGGGGTCCCGGTTGGTGCTTTATTCACGTGTGTGTGGGGTCCCAGTTGGTGCTTTATTCATGATGTTCATGGGACGCTAGACCCATTTTCCAATAGGTGGCGCTCCTCGTCAATAGACAGGAGAATGTATGCGTGTGTGTGTGTGTGTGTGTGTGTGTGTGCGTGTGTGCGTGTGTGCGTGTGTGCGTGTGTGTGTGTGTGTGTGCGCGCGCGCGCGCGCGCGCGAGAGAGAGAGAGAGAGAGAGAGAGAGAGAGAGAGAGAGAGAGAGAGAGCAGTATGCAGCATGTCAGTGGTGGGAGCACAAGGGCATAAATAAAATAATGTTATTGGAATACAATAGTTTTTATTTAAAATTCTAATAGAAAGTGTACACGTTGTATTCGAATACGTGCATGTGTTCTATTCGAAGTGCTCAGCTCTTTCAGAAAAGTACACCTGCGCCGTTTCAATTTCGAAATGTTCAAAACTCAAGGACCGCGGCTTCCTCGGCCTCCTACGGGCAGCTACCGGTCCTACGCACTCCCGCCCCTTGCAAGCCCCCAAAAACTCAAAATGCCCACCCTCCCCAACGACCACTGACGTTGAAAGTCTCAAGGAGGGGAAACGCAACCCTGACGGGCTGCGAACAAGGACCGTCACCCAACCACCCGGCTCCCTAGCTGCTAGCAGCTGTGGGGTGAGACCGTAGTTGTAGGCATCAGGGCTAAGCAGATTCAACACCCCTAATGTAGGTTGGGTAGGGGGGAAAGTGGAGGTGCAGCTACTGGCCGCAATGCCTCGTGCTACCACTCCTGGTGCTGGTTTTCCAGCAGTTGCCCATTCTCACATCACCTTGATGAGGGGCTGGTACAACTTCGATCTCGGACCAACACTACTATGGTGCAAACCTGCCTCACGGGTTAGGTTCGAGGTATGGGTTGGCTCCCTGATGGTGTACATACAGTAGAGAGGTGAGGATGAAAGAAATGACGAAGCCAAGTAATGAAGGTGAAGTCCATGTCCCTTGGGACATCCATTAAAATTTGAAAAAAATAAAAATAAAAGAATTTGAACGATACAGAGAGCGTTAGCGCAACGGTAACGCTGCGCTAGCGCATCACTATTACGATACGGGGGCAGTGGGGGATCGCACGGGGGCAGCTGTGGATAAGCTGCACTTAGCCATAACTTGTTGTTGGGTATCGCGGAAGCAGAGAGGTGATAGAGCGTGTAGCCGCTGAGGTGGAGGCCGCTTCGAGGGGGCACAACCATGCACTTGCCATAACCTAATCTTAGCCGACGAAAGTTGGTAATCCTAGATGGGTTGCAGAAGGAAGGAGAGAGATGTGGGGTCAGTCAATGGGCAGGATCTGCACATCGTACATATCAGTATTACTTCCTGATCAGGGGCTTTGCCCGCTGATTATAGATATGGAGAACGAATGCGTTGTTGGAGTGGATATAGTTTTATCTGGATGAAGAGCTCAATATGAAAGACGTGAGTACATCGATAAATGTCGACTTCCAGGAGATGGATGACGGACTTCATGCCGTGATCGGTATCGTCCACCGTCGCTGACAACGGACTTCAAGTTGTGAGTGGGGTTGTCCACTGTTGCCTTTGCTCCTACTTCGGGCGGGGTGTTGACTTCCTGACTTTTGGTGCTCTGACAGTTATTGACTGTGTTTCCCTAAATTGCAAGCGTTGCGAGTATAGATGATTGTGTTTTCCTAGATTCTAATCGTTAGGACAAG